CTGAATATTTCAATAAATTTTTCCACCATATCAAGAGAAGATGGACATCATCCACCTTTGGAAGGTTGGGGGGCATTGCATAGCCCAAAAGGCATTCTCACTATAGGCAAAGTTGGACATTAGGGCAGGTGAAAGTAGTTTTCTCTTGGTCTTCAAGGAGCTATAGGTAATTTGAAAGTATCCTGAATACCATTAAGTAAAACAATAAAAGGAATAACCCTGCAATATACTTTCAAGCATTTGATCAATAAAGGGTAGGGGAAGTGGTCGCTTGACGTTGTTTTGCTTTGTTTTTAATTTTCTATAATCTATACACACATAACGTCCAACCTGTGAACTGTTCTTGTAGGAATTAGTTCATTGTTTTCAATTAAGAGACTAACGTCAATACCTCCTTCTTTGGAACAACTTGGACAGGGACTATACCCAAATAACTAGTCGGAAAATTGGATTAAATGATACCGGCATCACAGGAGTTTTTATGATTTTAGACCTTGACCTACCCTCCTTCATGTTTCGGATTCCCAATCGCCTTTGAGCTCGATTGAAGGTTTGTAGTCTTCTTCCATCAAGATTTTATGCATGCAATACACTTGGGCTTATTCCTTGAAAATCTGAGAATAGACCACCCTAGTGCTTTCTTATGCCTTCGTAGAACCTGGCAAACAACCTTTCTTCTTGATCAGAAGCGATTAAGTGAGAAAATATAACAGGGAAAAGAATAGGCCCTACCTAAAGAATGCATGTTTTAAATGAGGTGGAAGTTGTTTCAGTTCTTGCTTAGGTGGTTCCTTTTCTTTTTCATTCATGATAGCTTGATTCAATTTTAATGTTTATTTCTCCGACATGCAAAGTAGTTTTTCCAACACATTCATCAAACAACATCAATTCGAAAACAAATCTCCATAGTCCATAGGAAGTTTTGCAAGATTTAAGCACATCAAGACAATCTCTTCCTGTCCACTCTTAGAGTTTAACTTACGACATCATAGACATCCAATTCAATGCTCCTTGCAGTTAAGCAAGAAAAGGTCCTTCCAAGATTAAAGATCCTTCCCTTCTTACAATCAATGTCAGAATAACAAATCAACAGGGAAGATGAATGTACCTACCTTTAACAAGTTACGTCTTCTACAATTCCTCTAGGAAATATTTGATTGATCGATCCACTAATTGTAAAGACATTCTTGTTGGTTTTGAGTTCTCCCATACCTAGCATCTTAAAGATTTTATAAGAACATAAGATTATGCTAGCCCTAAATTTCTGCCAAAGCTTTTTTCAAAAAGTCTAGATTACCAATATTTGCAAGGGAAATAAGAAAAACTTCCTGGCTCTTTAACTTTGGAGGTAATTTGGTTTTTTGGATAATTGCACTGCACTCCTCAGTTAACATTAATGTTCCTATGAATTCAATCGGATTTATCGAGTTTCCTTGCTCAGGATATCTTTTAGGAATTTTAGCATAGCTAGGCATTTGAGCAAGAGCTTCAGCAAAAGGAATTGAAATTTGCAAGCTTTTTTGGAATTACGTCCAGAAATTTGAGGAAGCTCTTTTGTCGTCTTGTGCTTTCTTTAATCTTTATGGAAGGGAACAGGTGGAACAATGGGTTTTAACCTTTTCTTGTTCTTCTAAAGGTCAAATGGATGGGCACTTTGGCTGTTCTTTTTTCTCCTTCTCTTTCCCTTGGGTGGTTCTTCTATTGTTTGCCACTTCTCAAGGTGATAGCCTTACACTTGTTCTTTAAGGATTTTTCAGTATTGCTCGGTAAACTTAGTACCTTGAGGTCGAGATGCCATCAATGTTTGCAAAAATTGGTCCTAGCTGAATTTCCAAAATTTCTTAATGCAGCCCTGCTAAGAATTTTATGGTTTTTCTCTGGTTTCGTTCATAAAATCCATGTGCGATTAGAAAGGGCAGTGAGGGAGGTCATCATGAGATTTTTCCTTTTCTGGAGGAGGAGCCGGGTGGTGCGTTCAGGCATTGTTAGGAATTATCCATAAGAATAGATTAGGATGGTTCCTTAAATCTGTTATCATATAATTGAAATAAGGGTAATTCTTCTTTCCTTGATTCATTTCACATAGTTTTTTACTTGCTCCAAAGTTTGTGGATTAAAGAGTCCAATAATGCATTCTCCAGATTCCATGTTGTCCCATTGCAAACCTATCACAAATTTTTGCATAAACAGAATTTACAGGATTAGTGGTTTAAAATGTTCCAATTATTCTTACAATATATCCACCTTTGGCATTAAGTGGCTGGGTAAATGCGTCTATTTACATAGACTTCCTAGGCGGTTCTTCTCCTTTCAGATTGTTTTGGTAATGGCTGTTGCTTGCATCTTTCTAATTAATTTCATTGCTTCATCAATTCCCTTCTTTTTCAAAAGATACTTGCAGCTCGCAATCCAAAGTTGATTTTGATGTTAGGAGATAATGCATTATAGAAAGTTTTGTAGCCTGTAGCCACTTAGGCAAACTGTGATATGGGCACTTTCCCTCAACAAGTTTCCTTGAATCTTTCCAAGCTTCATAACAGGCTCTCTTGATCATGAAAT